CTCTGATACACTACAGCAGTCTCCTTCTCTCTCCCTGCATCTATTCCCTTCCCAAAGCTGAGCTTTGACTGATACAGTCTTTTCATTGTCGTCTGTGTAAGTGAAGAATGTAAATATTGGGTCAGCTGATATTCATGTTTAATCATTTTAGACAAGTGATTTTACTGAAGGCTACCAGGATAATTATAACTGAGTTGATTAAATTCATTCACAATATGTGCACTCACTTTATTAATGAAAACAGATTCGTTAATGTCTCTTGCCTCGTCACATTGACAATTACGAAATAGTACATTAGCCTAATCACGTACATAATTCTAAATAGCGAAATTAGACAAAAGTTTTAGTTTACATCCCTGAATATTTCTGTCTGCCGTATAACATTTCTATCGTAAAACAGCGGTCAAATAGGAATTATTTGGTTTAGCTACTTACATCTTGCACTTCATAACTGTTTGAGGCGTCGAGCTGGAATTTTTACACTCAGCGCCTGTGAACATAAACCCCGCCTACTTTGATTTGATTGGCCATCACAAACACTTTGCCATTGATGAGCGCTCTAAGACCGCTGAGGCATCTCAGATGAGAAGATCTGTTACCTTGGCTTTTAATCCTTGCTGCACCAAAGCAGAATAAATATAAGGTAATTATTTTACAACTTTTGTTATTGGAAAAATACAGAGGTCCAGACCTCGGGGACCTCAATGGTGGGTACGGCCCTGCATGAGGGGTATGCGAAGAGCAGTTGGTATGTAGGTTTTCCCCTCAGGACCTCCTGGCAGAGCAGGCTCTGCGCATGCAGCCTCAGTAATCTGACTGTCCAACGATTACTGGATGGGACTCACAATAATGAAAGGGGGGAGTATAGGTTCTGGTGGTTTGGTGTCGATCTCTCTGGCATGTACTGTAGATGGGAGAGTGCATCTGCCTTCTGGTTCTTGTGTCCGGGTCAATATGTTAGTGAAAAGTTGAAGCAGGTGAAGAAGAGTGCCCAGCGTGGTTGATGAGGGTTCAGTGTGTGTGCTTCACAGATTTACTCCAGCTCTCAATGGTCAGTTTGACTTGAAATGGATGTTTAGCTCCCTCCAATTAGTGTCTCCACTCCTCCAGGGCCAGTTTGATGGCTAACAGCCTCCAGTTGCCAATGCCATAGTTGTGCTCCACCGGGGACAGTTTCTTAGTGAAGTAGGCACATGGATGAATACGAAGAGGCTTACCATGCCACTGTGAGAGGACAGCGGTGCAGAAAGCTTCTTTTAGCTGATGGAATACTTTGGTGACAAATGAACTGTAGCAAATTAGCTCAAAAGGGAAATATTTATGATTAATTATAACTGGTTATAATTAATAATGAATATTTAGATTAGATCTTAGAATTAACTGTAGCAGAATTTATATTACAATTATTTGATCTGTTCATCCACCGAGCAGACAATATAATCATTTATCAATTCTAGGAAAGATTATTTTCCTGGCCAAGGAAGAATAACTTTCCTACTTTATGCAGTACTAGCAGTAGTTTAGCATGTAGCAAGGATCAACATTCAGTGACTCCGAATTGTGAGCAGCACACAGAGACAATCAATTGTGAATATAAGGGATTTAATA